ATAGGCTTTTCTGAAGAAAATCTGAATTATGTGGAAACCAATATTTCATATTTACTGTGGTTTCTTGCAAGTGGGTATTTTGGGCTTTGTTGATGGCTTTTCACATTTTTGTCTTTGCCATTTGCAGGAATTCTTCTTGCAGGGAAGATTCATATTTGGGCCTGATGTGAGATCTGTGTTTCTCACTATGTTCCTCATCATTGCACCAGTGGTTGCCTTCTGTGTGTTTGTCGCAAGGCATCTCATAAATGATTTCCCCGATAGCTGGGGAATCTCAGTGATGGTAGTAGCGGTTGTCTTCACCGTTTATGTAAGCATACTACTGCATTGCTAAGTCACATAGTTATTACTTACCATAAGCAATTGCTCTTTAACCATTACTTCTCTCCTAAATTACACTTTTCTTGTGCTTGCTTATCTGCATCTTTCATTAATCTCACTTGACTTGTTGATGAGCTTGTACTATTATTTTCAAGGAAATCTTCACTTTGTAAGTGTACATATAACTGAACATATTTTCTTTTACCAGGATTTGATGCTGCTTCTTTGTACCTCTGGTAGAGATCCTGGTATAATACCTCGTAATACTCATCCTCCTGAACCTGAATCCATTGACGGGATCAATGATACGGGCGTTCAGACTCCACAACAATTTCGTTTGCCTCGCACAAAGGAAGTTGTTGTAAATGGGATCAGTGTGCGGGTCAAATACTGTGATACTTGCATGCTGTACCGACCACCTCGATGCTCACACTGTTCCATTTGCAATAACTGTGTGGAACGGTTTGATCATCACTGTCCATGGGTTGGCCAGTGCATAGGACTGGTAAGTTACTCAAGATTACTGGCTGTTTTATAGGTGTCCTTATATTAGAACAAGCATGCTGTGCATGTACACTTGAATTGATATTCAGAGCTACTCTTTCTGGGTACATTTTCATTTTTTTTTATTTTGTCGACTAACTTTCTATGTATTTTGTTAAGCCTGATCATCAATGTATTTGTGCAGCGTAATTATCGGTTCTTCTATATGTTTGTCTTCTCGACGACATTGCTCTGCCTGTATGTATTTGCCTTCTGTTGGGTGTATGTGATCAAGATTAGAGACGCTGAGCAATTGTCACTTTGGAAGGCCTTGTTGAAGACACCAGCTTCAATTGTTCTGATTATCTACTGCTTTCTTTGTGTATGGTTTGTGGGTGGTTTATCTGTCTTCCATTTATACCTGATGAGCACTAACCAGGTAGGTCCAGCTTTCATTCCAATTCTCATCCCATTGATGCTGCAACTGCAGTTCAGTAGTCTAATCCTTTACCCATTTTCCTTGTAGACAACATATGAGAATTTCAGGTATCGCTATGATCGGCGCGATAACCCATATAACAGAGGTATTCTGAACAATTTCCTAGAGATATTCTGCACTGCTATCCCCCCTTCGAAGAACAATTTCCGGGCAAGGGTGACAGTAGAGCAAGGGCTGCAGCAAACGCGCTCACAGTCTAGGGGCTTCATGAGCCCCAGCATGGGCAAGCCCATTGGAGATCTTGAAATGGGCAGGAAGCCAGTAGTACCTTGGGACGAGCCAAGGACGGCAGCTGATATCAGGGACTTGGAAGCAGGGCTCGGGGGCATGTTTGATGAGAAGGAGGGCAGAGTAGCCCATGCATCCCCAGATCTGAGCAGAGATCTTCCAGCAGAGTTTGTGGAAGGCTGGTCTGGCATGCACTCGAGGCAGTCAAGTTGGGTTCAGAGAGGAGGAGATGCAATTGAAGCGTCGGCGGTGCAAATGGCTAATGCCCGCACCGCCGAAGTTAGCAACCATGTTGCCCGGAGCGGCACACGTTAGCCTGGAAAAGGACAAAAAAAAAAAAGGAACTATGGTGTGTTTCAGTTGTGCCTTGAGGCGGGTGTTGGTGGTGGTGATGTCTCGAAGTGAACCGCCATGTGTTTATTGCCACGTCTGCCAGGGCCTGCAAGGCCCTGGATCATTGTAATCCTAAACACAAGCTTGCTGTTGTTGTTTCATCCCTGGTAGCGCATCAGATCCCTGTTGTCGTTGGTTGTTTGTTTGTTTGGGTGTTTTAACAAATTGATTGAAGTAGCCGACGAGCTTAAGCTCCCGCCCAGTTTGGATGATGTGTCTGTATATAATAATAAATAAATTATTATCAGGTTGCAATGGATGCTGTGCTTGGTTTGCCACACCACTGCTGTGTTTTGAGTGCTCGTAGTGACATCTGGGGTGCCCCCCATGTAAGATTACTCTCGGTGTAACGCGATTTCATTTTAAATAATTTTTTTAATGAATAATTGCAAATCTAGTAGCTGTTATACAAAAATTATAGTTGTAGCCCGGTAGGGGCTTTGTCGGCCACTGGATGGCCGACAGATATAACCATCGGCTTCTGGGTGGCTGACAGGTCCTAGGCCAGTCGTCACTCCAAGAGCCGACCAGTTACCCCGCGTCCATCCGCCTCTACGGGATGGTGAATGTAATGCCGGCACATCGATCCCAAGATGGCAAATGTTTGCTGGCCCCCGACTAGAAGAAATTGTTGCAAATTATTAAACGAAAGGAAGATGGAGCTGCTGAAACCAAAGTGGCACCGGCACTGGCACGACACGTTGTTGAATACTACTAGTACTATGCTGAGCGTGTGTTTAGTTGTGTGAAAATTGAAAATTCGGCTACTGTAGTACTTTCGTTTTTATTTGACAGATAGTGTTCAATCATGGACTAATTAGGCTCAAAATGTTCGTCTCGCAATTTTCAACCAAATTGTGCAATTAGTTTATTTTTTCGTCTACATTTAATGCTCCATACACGTATCGCAAGATTCGATGTGATGGCTACTGTAGCACTTTTTGAGAATTTGGGGTGGGAACTAAACACGCGCTGAGGGTAGGCCATGCCGCATGGCCCATGCATGCGCCGTAGCAGATCGTTGTCAGGCCGACGACCTCAAGTCGCAGTCGCAGTACAACAGCATCAGCATGCAGCCCTGGGGGCTCCCGGGCTGGCTGGGGCTGGCAGCCTCGCACGGACACTGCGAACCTGTTTGATGTGAGCGTAGGGGTGGCTCGGCCCGTCAGCCAGGCCTAGGCCAGCCACAGTCTGGCCCCGAGAGCATAGGTGTTTGTGTTTGATTTCACGCACCAGTACAGTCCAGTCCAATTATGTTTGTGTTTGATTTAACTCTGGAGCCAGGCCAACCACCAACTCCAACTACCAGTTGGAGATTCTGTTTGATATGGGCCTGGCTCACCATGTCTCGGGAAGGAACATGAGAATGCACAAGTAGTTTGCAAATGAACCCACATAGCTTTATGAAAACAAATATTAGCTAAAACTTAGTTACAACAATATGAACTACATATTAGTGACAATCAGGTGGCCTCAGACTAAATAGTAATTAATGGTTCACATAATCCTAGTTGCCTCAGCAGAACAAAAAACAAGCCAACAGATCAGCTATCATTTAGAGAAATACAACAACCAGATAGTTCATCGACATGGTAACAAGGCAACCAACAGTGACAGAAATGGATCAGAGAAATACAAAGAAATTGAGGCAGCTAATCCATCATCTTTTCTTAGTCATCACAGGCCTAAGATTGGCAGTTGCCCTGTCCAGTCATGCTCACCCGTATCCATAGTCCGAGCACCACAAAAAGCAGTGAGATGATTACCACATTTTTCCAACACCAAGACTTACCATCAATAGGAGAAATACCTTGACAACAGGCATCAAGGAGCAGCTAAGAGGGGAGGGGAGTTGGTGCTCCTCGAGATGCATACTCATAATTTTTGTACTTCAAATACCTTGTATTCTTGAATCCAAGAACCTGTTCACTGCATTCATACCAGGTTCTATAGATTCCAGGTTGCTTCCCATGGAAAACCACATAGCAAGGTGCCATTTTCTGTGAAATCATAATTGTAATTAGCCTCAGTCCTTTGTGAATCATGAAACAAGGCATGAGTGCGACATTGATGATCTAGGGATTAATGAAAGAAACAACCCATGATCCTAAATGCCACACCGATGGCTTGGTTCATCTTGTTGAAATGAAACAATTGACATCATAGGCTAAAAAAAGTGGCCTCAGCTCTAGAATTTGGTGCTGCAATTCATGTAAGTACTCATCACAGGTGGCTGCACATGTAGCAAACAAGTCTAGAAAAGCAGCAAGTTTGAGACTGCAAATAAGTACGGACAGAACATCAAGGCTGCCATAGAACCCATCTGGCCATCCATTCTCTACCGTCATCAAACTGGTGTTGCAAGAGAATGGATGGTTCAGATGGATTTGATGACAGTCATGAAAACCAGCAAGAACAAGCCATGAAAAAACAATAACAACAGGAAACAGTTGTGCAGCCACCTCATTGTTTTTTTTCACATTTTGCGTCATAGGCCAGATCAAAAACACACTTTAGGCACCAACTCATGGAAACACAGGTATCAAATACAAGAAATGACAGAAATATATGAAAGCATGAAGTGAAGATTCAAATAAGGCCATCCCAAAATCATGAAAGCCATGAAATCCATGGGCATATCCATTCACTGCCATCAGCATGGTATGAGCATGCTGTTGATATGGAATAGATGTGTCCCACGGGTTCAATGACACCCATGAACAACACAATGTAATACAGTCCTCCCAATGCAACAGGAACATAAAGTGACAAATATAGTAACAGTAGCAGTAACCAACAGAGGTTACTAATTAATACATCAAGTTTGTCTCCAAATAAAGGTTCAGCACACAACAAGTAGGCACTTAAGTGAACTACCAAGTTACACTTGCTCAGATATAGTTAGCCACCCTCCAACTATGCAAACCCAAAAGGACAGGTGCTGGTCAGCCATCTACCATGCACATGAGCTACACCAAAATGGAACCTAAAAGAGAAGAGAGTGGGTGAGGGACGTGGAGGAACTATATATCTCAACAGTCAACCCCTCTTGCCTTACTGTCCTAGATAGACAGAACTATATATAGTTGTTCTTGGCAAGGTAGTTCCTCAGCCAAATGTCCCAATGGTTGATTGCCATGTTCACAAAGCCCTTGCCAAGGACCTTGTTTTTTAGAAGGTAGGTGTAGGCAACAATGAAAGCTTCAGTGGTGAAGCCAGGCATCTCCATCACTGCAAGATAGAGGTCAGGATCCACATGTGAAGGCCTAGTCTCTCTAAATGCAGAGGCTACATTGTTGACAGCATCAGTCATGTTAGTCATCATCAGCATCTCTTCCTCACTAAAATTACCTCTCTCTCTCTCTTTACTCCCACAGTGGAAGTGAGCAGCTCAGTTGCCTTGCTGCACTCACCCATCTTAGGGCTGCATTTGACATCAGCCCCAGTGGTGAAGCCCTGACCCTTAATCTTAGCAGCAACACTATCAACATTGTTCACCCCAAGTGGCTCACTGGAACCTAGGGCAAACCTACCAGTGCCCATGGAAGAACCAAATATGGTCTCCATCTCAGTGTAGAACCTGATTGGGGTGAAGGTGTGTGGCAAGTTAAAGGATAAAAGTGTATGGACTATTAATTTGAGTTACCTTCAAGAACTATGATCCCATCATTCCTGTCAATTGTATCAGCAAGAATGAGTGCATCATGGGTAGAGCCCTCCCAGCCAGCTAGGACATAGGTGAACTTGAGATCAAAGTCCACAACAACCATCATATTTTGTGTGGGGTTGTGTTTCTTACCCCTGAAAGCCTGCTGCATGTGTCTAGGCACCCTTGCCACCACATGTGTGCCATCAATGGCACCAACACAGTCCTAGAAATGTGTAGGATAGTGGATAAGTGCAAACACAGTAATTGGTAAACCCAAGCCAGATAAATATGATTAATAAGTACCTGCATATATGGGTACCATCTCTGGCTACCCATGATTTTTAGATGTGTGGCAGTGGTAGGAGGCTTGATCATTTCATTCCTAAGCTCACCAACAGCATAGAGAACTGGGTGGAAGACTACTAACAGTCTCAATGGACCTCCTAGAAGACTGGTGTGGTAGAACCGCTTAATCTAATACCCTCCCAAGAGTATTTGTTTTCCATTAGACACTAAGTACCCAAGAGAGTGCACTAAATCGTGCTGTTCCGTCGAGCACACCCCAAGGAAGAACTTAAAAATCCATATTTTTCCAATAGGATCATAAATGAGAGAATAAAGCTTACAACATTCTTAACCATTTCCTACATCACTTTATTACAACGTTAGAGTACCTAAACAAGTTAAATGCAACAGCGGAATTAAGACAGTTTTACATGTAAAAGAGTTTATACATTTTAGGTTTACATTTTTTATCTTGCAACGGAGAACAACATATGATCAAAATTACAGTGAAAATAAAGATTAATGGTGAATCATAAAACTTTTCTTCTAAAACTTTTAGTGAGGGTTATAAATAAACACTACGGTCGTAGCGTGAAAGGAATCCTCTCTGAGCCCACCAGGAGGTTTTCACACACAAAAGTCGTCTACAATCCATTGGTCACCTGCAACAGGGAGAATAAAACCCTGAGTACTCGATTGTACTAAGCAACACTTACCCGACAGGAGGAAAATAAAAGACTCCAAGGATATGCAAGGCTTATTTGGCTTGTGGGTTATTGCATCTGCAGAAGCATTACTAAACGTGTGTCCTTATATTAAATTTTATTAGCAGTCATCATTAGTCCATTAACTATCCATTCTATGTAAAGCACCTATGCTACTTTCAAGCAGGTGGTGAGCAATCAAAACCATTTTACCATCTTTCATATTCCATTTCTTACTACGGTGCTAGACCATAGCCAAGTCAGTACCATCTCATAGAAATGGTGATTCACGAATCAATGTATCCCAGCTGGGTACCCCGAAACAGACGCCTCGCTTGTACCCCAAGCACAAACAAGACCAACCCGTTCCACTCCTGTCAAGGGGTCTAGGTCCTCGTCCAAACTTGGACTCCATTCCCCCACACTTGAGACCCAGTCTCAGTATGATGCTTAGACCTCCACCTTTTCTCGCCTCTAATCAGTCGGTCCAAAAAGAGCCGGAACCCGCGATAAGAGCGTAATAATCCTTCTCGCTCCTATAAGCAAGTATGTGCTTAGGATAATAAGTCTATGACCTGACTACCATCCACAGCAACGGACGGTCCTCAATAGACACAGGCGGAACAAATGCAATCCGAGCCTCGCTCGAATGCCTAACCAAGTCCAGATCCAAAGTACCTTTCCGCCCGGTCTCCAATTATCATCCATATATATTTCATGTGATAGTAATATAATAACAACAATAATATCTTTTCTATCTCTCGTGAGTGACAGGTAATCACTTGACTTCTACCGAATCCTATAGTATAGCCATCTACACGATTCTGATATACTAGTAGGACTCATAGGATAAGGATATATATATGCAAGTGGTTTTCATTCAACTCCTTAAAACTTAATGCACAAGCATAAATTAAAGTGCAGAATAATAGGGGGTTATGCACCGGGGCTTGCCTAGGTAAGATATAACAACAAATTAGCATTCCATCATGGTGACACGATCATCAAGGCACCATCCTTTCCGCTACTCTGATTATCTCTACGATCCATCGTTGTTCCTATTATGATATACGTGGATGCAATGCAGAGACATAAATAATCAACGACAACCGAAACTCTTAGAAATACGATTACGCCTCACAAGCTAACGAGATAGATCTAATAACTAACATGCTAGGCTACGTATCCATGTTGTCGAATAAGGCGTTGTTTCCCAGAAAATGTTCTAGTTTTAAAATCCCATGGTGTTTCGGCATTTTATTGATTAAATATATATTTTCAAATTAGGGCTCATTTAGTTACCTTAGCAAACTAATTATTATGGAGCTACAAAAATTACAGTAATCACCTAATAATGTTAGGAATTTACTGTGAAAGTTTCAGAGCCAACACTATCACCAATTTATCACAAACATTGCTACAAGTTTATATCTTATAATATTAAGCATCTCAAATTAATTAGATAACTCCTTAAAATATTATAAAACTATGTAAATAAAATATACTAGCAGATAGATCATGATTTTAGGAACCTAACAAAATTGGTTTCACAATTTTCGGTTAACTACACAATTTTATATTGAATTTACAAGTTTACCTTAGAAACTAAATTAGAAAATACTTTAGAAAACAAAAAGGGCCGGTGGCAAGCATTCGGCCCAGCAGCCCGGCTTGGCCCAACGCAGAACGCGGGCGCACGTAGCAAGCCGGCCCAGCAAGCGGCCCAACGCGGGATCCCTCGTGCGCGCTGGCTATTTTGTAGAAAATACCTTGATCTATCAATTTATTACGTGGCACTATGTGTACTATTCCTACCATCAGTAATCTTGTAACCAAACCCTCGGATGTTTTCACCTTTACCACGGAGAGGTCCCTGGAAACCCCCCACACGCCAGCGCGGCGGCCGACGCCATAAGGCGGTTACGCCGAGCAAACTAGGCTCGCTACGACGGAAGTAAGGAGCCGACCACCATCTACAGCTGAACGCGCAAAGATGGGTGATGGTTAGTGACTCGGAGGCGCACTGTTGCGAGCTGTAGTGGCGATCCACGGCAGTGGTGCGCCTGTTCTGACGAACCTACGTACGCTCAGCAGAGTAGAGGTGGCGGATAAGCATCAGTGGCTCACCGTGGTGCATGCCCTACTGACGGTTGAAGCAGTGGAGCGCTACGACGGTCTGGCCACGTGCGAGCTGCCGGGGTGATGGTGCTCCGGGATGGACACCCATGCATCACTATGTCTCTGGTAAGCGCCCTAGCCAAATTGCGTGAGCACCAGATAGAGGAGGTCAAGGCGAGCTCATGGATACAAACAATTGAACCAATTTGGACCTTACCCCAATTTCACTAGCACGGTGGCGCACCTGGCCGGTGGCGAGAAAAATGCCAAATTGGCGGCCAGTAGTGCTCGGTTGCGCCAAGGTGAGGGTCGGGCTGCTAGCTAGCTTTCCTGTCTAACTTCTGGAACGCCAAATTGAGGTGTGGTGCCCTGAACCACACGTATTTGTCATGCGAAGCGGGGCGATTCTGTTGACGACAAGGGCAGGCGGGAGCGGCAGCTCTTCGAGGCTGTGCTTGCTTCGGTCGAGGCTGCAGTAATGAAGCGAGGCATTCACACAGGGAATACTCAGAGAGAGAGAGAGAGAGCATCGTGGAGCACCTTGATGGGACTGCTCGGCCATGGCAGGATGCGGACGGTGGCAGTGAAGCAGTGAAGCAGCGATCGCGCGCGGGGCCGTCTCACAGGGTCGGTGCAACAAAACAACGCGAGGGAGGGCAGTGACACCGCAACACGGCATTAGTGCGACGTGACCACAGAGGCAGACAGCGGCTCGACGAGTAGGTGATTCGAGCGGCGAAACAAGTGCCACGTCGGCTAGACGACGGCCGCCGCGACATCAGCTTGGCTTGCAGTGAGGTGGGGCAACAGCGCGCCGGCCAGCAGCAACAGGGTCATGACAGCGGCCCACTGGGGTCGGCCACGGCCAACCCATGGCCAGACAGGCCAACCAAGCTTAGTTCTGTGGCGCGCGGAACGTGGCCAGCCGTGCGACGCCGAGTGGCCGCGCGAGGTGGCCGTGCACATGGGCTAGGCACATGACGTGCACGAATTTTAAAGCATAGCAAAAACTACTAACGATCACAAGTGAGGCCCAACTAATTCCCCTATCCTACAGTCAACATTACTAGCGACCTAGCAAAGCCATCGCCATGGCCAAAGAGCAACCAGAGAGGGGGATAGGAGGATGCCAACCTGAGCTCGTCACGTTGAACGCCAGTTCACGAACTGAGTGCCAACAACGTGGTTTACAGTGCATTCCAACGAAGTTTGGGGAATTTTTACGAGAGCCACGTGACACCCAACATAACAACCACCTATGCCATGCTCAAGTACTCACTTTGATGCAATCAACAATACCAAAGCATGCACCTAGTGTTTAAACATTTTAGCTAGAATTTAAATGTCAAGATAGCATTGTCTTACTACTTTTCCCATACTTAGAAAAGTTAAGATTCAATTCAAACTAACAGCCATTAACACTTTTGTTACAATTTTTAAAAGGCCTATGTGGCAGAACCATCCGAAATAGCACGCTTTCAGAGGCGCTCATCTTCCACCAAACACTAAGCACCCCCAAAAGCAAGCTACATTGGACGGATTTTGTCAAGCACACCCCAAGGAAGAACTCAAATAATCCACGTTTTTCCTCCAGGATCCAATAATGAGAACGAGTTTACAATACTTAGTCCATTTCATACAACCAGAGTTCTTAAAAATACATTATTACAATACTAAGTTCAGAGTGTGGAATTTAAACAGCGGAATTACAATAAACATCTAATGGTAGAATACAAGGATCCGTCTGTGTCCACCAGAAGATTCCTCCACACAACAGCTACTCTTCAAGCTGCACCTGCAACAGGGGTAAA